ACAGATAATAGGAAGCAGGGAGATAGATCTCAAATGGGAAAAGGATTCAGAGATGGAGAGGGCATGAGAAGACGGAAAGGAATAAAAAAGAATTACACTGTGTTCTGCTCATGTGACAGCTCTACTCAAGGAGCCTAAGAATCACGTACTGCAAACGTGGACTAATAAAAGAGTGCTCTTTTAGCTGCTTAAAGTTTTCATTACATTACATTATAGTGAAAAAAATGATAGTGATGTAATGCAGATTTGAATTCAGAAACTTTCAATTTGGGAAGGAAGTACAGAAAAGAAGTCATTTAGATTAGAAAGGACTTGTTCTAAGAGGCTAATCTTATCTTTACTCCTCTTGTCAAAACTAAATCCATAACATATTACTCGTCTCAAATATGTTAGAGGTCCAACTAGGGAAACTATTGGGGTTTTGGGTTTTTTTTTTAAGTATTTAGTACAAGGTCTATGGGGTCTTACTACACAGCTCAGATTCTTAGGCTCCTTGAGTAGAGCTGTCACATGAGTAGTGGTCCTCCTGTTTTTAGCCTCCCAAGCGATGGGATTACAGGTGCAAGCCACCACACTCAGACTTAATCCCTATCTCAGCACGCGCTGGGGGTGGGACTGGCAGGGCACACCAGGAAACCAACCCTTGTCCCTGTGTCTATCTAAGCAGGTGCTTTAATCCGCTGAGCTATCTGGCTGGCCTCTATTATGTCTTAAAACTATAAATTAAGCTGGGCGTGGGGTACACGCGTATAATCCCAGCACTCAGGAGGCTGAGGCAGGAGGATTGCCATGAGTTTAAGGCCAGCCTGAGCTACATAGTGAGTTTAAGATAAGCCTGAACTGCATAGCAAGACTCAGTCTCAAAAAGGGGGAAAAAAACCTACAAATCTAACATTAAAATGTAAGAAACAACACTTCTTTAGTAAAAAGTGACAGCATGAACTAGAGTATATTACTTTGAAGATCTAACTACAGTATTAAGATATTAGAAAAAAATACTTCCAATATAAAAAAATACACCATTTTGGTATACTTGGATCTAGTTAAAAAGTGCAATTCTAAGCACACTTACAGCTAAAGACTTCAAACACTTAGGAGCATTATGGCACTTTCATTAACCTTATTTTTCTAAAATCCTAAGAAATATCACAACATAGTCATAGAGTTGAGAGCAAATACCTTGTCAAGAGCAAACTTCGTGCTTCCTACAGATGCTAAGGACAACGTGGAAGACCCAACGAGGGCAAAGTTGCTGGTGCGCACGGCGTGGAGGCCTGCTGGGCTGGCCATAACTGCAAAGAAAGAGCCCACAGCAGTGAGTTCAGGGACCTTTGCAAGATCAAACAGCAATTCTTCACAACGCCAGCAGGATGAAATTAAACTGCCCCAGGGAAAAGTGCCTCCTTTTCCCGTTTTTAAATGTGACATGAAACAGAATAAAACATTTTCTTAATGAAAGAAAATTTCATAGAATTTTGTCTTAAATGAGTCTAAGCACCCCTTAATATTTGCAATGGATGTGTTTAAAAGACTCAGTACTTAAAAGTGAACACTTCAAAAAAACATTTTCTCCTAAGAAATCTAAGAAATACAGAAGAGACTTCATGAGTACTGACAGAACAGGGTGACACAATCAGAGGCAGAGATAAAATCTGCACAGGTCTCTTGGCAACTCTGTGCCACAGAGAAAAAGCCAACAGCCTAAAGGACGTGAGAAGCAACAGCTCCATCCTAATCCCCTCTAGACAACTTAGGCCTAACACATCACAGGGAAGGCCTTTCCTGGCTCACAGCACCCCAGGGCCTAGCAAACTGGATTGACACCGTGCCATCACGATGAGTACTGTGGAGCGACGTAAACTCCCCAGCGTGGACAGCACAAGACAGTCCACAGAGTGAGGAGCACGGGGAGCAGCGCTGCACCACATATGACTGGACTGCCACAGCCTGAACCTGTGATGGCTGCTGTCTGCACAGGTGCCTGGCAACGGCACAAGCGGACTGCAGGCTACTCTGGCCAATAACCTTGTATGGGACTGAAAATAAACTCAGATAGAAAATATTATCCCAAAGCAGGCCAGAGTAAACACTCAAAATCAAAGTGGACTACATACATGAACGCATTCTTCTGTATGTGCACAACTGCTCAATTCTTTTCTTATTCTAAACCTTAAGCAGTTCAGAATTCACTCACCTGAAGAATGAAGGCCGCTTTTCTAAAAAAAAATAATAATAATAATTAATTAATTAAAAAATGAGGAAACATAAGTAACTTCTTTTGATTTGTTATGAAGACATAAATATCATGTTCAAAATTCTAACAGGACAAAGACTACATTTGAGAAAACAATTTTCCTCTACAAATGTCAAGGATCATTCCTCATTAGCATATTTTTTAATGCATTTGGTACAGGGTCTCACTACGCAGCTCAGACTCATAGTGATCCTCCTGTTTTCAGCCTCCCCAGCACTGGGATTACAAGTGTGCACCACCATGCCTAGTTTTGGTGGCCAGTTCAGTGTGCCCAGGGTCAGGGCTGGTGCTACATATGGTGCTAGGCTCATTAGTATATTTTAAAGATCTATATAACTTACAATTGGTTTAGAATTTGATATCATTTTATAATCTATGTGTAAGATGAAAATTTCCCAAGAAATCTTAATTTTTTAAAAAAATTCTACTTACTGGGGTTATAGATGTAAGGAGTCTCTTTGGAGTAATAGCCTAGAAGAAAAAATGAGTATATTTCCAATGAAAATGCTGTAATTGAGTTTAAAATTAGCTCTTCAGCTATTCCTACATAAAAAATAAATATGAATAGATCAGACTTGAGTTCCTTAAAAAGGTTCTGTCATAAAGCTAAAGAAAAAATATTTTTTCATTTTTATGTTCCAAGAGACATTAATTTGAAATAAAGAAAAACTCTTTAATGATGACTTAGGAGAACAACAATGATTAGAAAGGTAAAAACCAAATTAGAGGCTCTACTGCACCCCCTACACAACTGACTGTTTAGTTAAGGGCTGGTCTAGAGGACCTAGTGGGAAAGTGCGGAGGACAGCAAGTTTTAAGCCATTATAAAAGTTGTCAAGTAAATGTAGACAAATTTCTTGTTATATAGGTCTTGCTTTATCTTGGTCTTAACCAACAGCAGAAACAAGGTATATAAAGTAAAGCCATATTAATTATTAATATGCTGAGCTGTAAAAGGCTCTACTCAACAACTTCTGCAGACAACTCCCTACTATTGTGGACTATTGGACTGTGTTGGATTGTTTTGCTGAATTCAAGCACCGATAATATTTAGATGCCAATAGAATACCCATCTCTGACAGGACTGAACTGAACAGGGGGATACAGAGGAAGGACCATTTTGTATTTGTATATACAGAATAGTTAGGATAGATGTACGGCTGCTTTCGCTTGGTTCAGGGAGAGGACGGATTTGTAGTAGTAGTGTTTGGACGGGATGTCCTGGCTGCTTCTTGTGCTGTGGATGACCGCTGAGAAAATAACAATGTGCAATGTATTAATTATTGAAAATGTCCTATTAATCTGCTTGGAAAGTGTCTCATTGATACTTGTTTCTCAATTAAAAAAAAAAAAAAGTAAATGTAGACAAAACAAAAATTTCTACTTTGAGTATCAAAAGCTTCTAGTTAGGATCCCAGTCACTCACAGTAAGTTCACCTGAAGGATTCACACCTATTTAATGCAAGAGATACAAAGCTGGCATGTAAAACTGATCTGAAGACTTTAGAAACATTCAAAGTGGTATAACGATTATAACTAGCATGACACCTACTGTGTTTGATTGTAATATTTTTCCTAGATTTCTGTAATTCTCACCTTGGACTTGGATGGTTTTTTCTTCTTATCAGGACCTGAAGGATCTTTCTTTTGTACCTACACAAAAACCCAAATTATAATCAGCTTGCAATCTGATATTCTTACGGAAAATACACTGCTGGTTATTTCAGAAAACTATAAATGCTTACCAAGCTGTAAACTTCAAGATTTATTTCAAACTCATTAGACACATCTTGTCTAGAAAAGAAAGGACATTAAATGAAATAAGAAAAACTTCAAGTTATACCTTTAAAATGCCACAAATAGTGTTACAAGATTCTGAGAGTAAGATAGATTGTGTTTTTAACTAAAAACAATGAGAAATGGTAAGAACTGTCTGTATTAAAAAAGAAATATTGACTTCAGTCTTTTATAATTCAAGAATTTCAAAAAGTAACTTTTTTTTGAATTGATTTGTACCTTGTAGTTTCAAAATACATCTGTAACAAACATACATATCTTTTATTAAAACTAAATATTAAGTATGTAGTATGAGATTTAAAGCATATATAAAAATTATGGTTCACATTTAATATAATACTTTAAAGTATTAAATGTCTATAGTCACATGGAAGAAATATGCCTCTCAATGGAAAATATCAAAACATAAAAGCTAATTTAAAAACGTGAAAACTGGGTTATTTACCTATTTTAAAAAATGAACACACAGCTGCCAGGAGCCTAAAATAGGTAGACTGCTACAACCTGAAGGCCAAGTTGGGCTATAAAATGAGTTCAAGGCAGCCTGGACCACATAGAAAGACCTAGTCTCAAAAACTAAACAAAATAGGGCCAGGGGGATAACTCAGCAGTACAAAGTGCCTGCCTGACAAGCTCAAGGTCCTGAGTCCAATTCCCAGTACCAAATAAATAAATAAATAAAGGGCTGAGTGGTTAAAGCACATGCTCAGCATGTACAAAGATTTGATCGGATTATGGCTTTGACCCCAGAATGATTTGTAAATAAATGTCACCTGTATCCTTAGACTATTAACTGTTTAAGCAAGAATACTGTCTAAGCCACCAAAACCCTAATTACTCACAGAGTAAACGTAGTAGTGAATGTCAGAGCGTCGCCACTGAGAGAGTCTGAAGTGCTTGCTAGTGGTGTGGCCACCATATTCTCAGCTCCTGCTTTTAGCATAATTAAGTAATAGTAATTGGCTGCATCTGCAAGAAATTATCAATTACATAATTAGCACAAGCAAAATCAGATTTAGCTGATCAGTATTCTGAACCGCCACAGGAATAGTCATACTGCAATCAGTTTCTATAAATTTATATTTAAAGTTACTAAAATCAAGTTTCCAAAAAGAAAAATTTTAATTAGACATAACCTGACAGTTACAACTTTGAATAAACAAGGTCTCTCCTTAGTTCCTCAATTTCTGACTTTGAGTTTAAATTAATAAACCAAATATATATGTCCAAAGGGTAAATTATGATTTATCTTTTCAAAAGTGAGGTTAAAATACCTTGAAAGTTATGCAGAGGTAAATCGTAATAAAATCATGAGCTATTTCTTCACTCTCTGTTATTAGATAACCATGCATCTCAAGGTAAATGTTTTCCGCTCACACTTCACTAAAACGAGGTAAGAGCAATGGCTACAACTTGAGTTAGCTCAGGCCTATGGTAATGTTCCATTCTTCGCCTTCCCTGTACCTCAGAGTCACTCTGCCTACAGGTGACTTTCTTTCCCACAAAGAGGAAGTTCTACACAAATAAAAGCTTTACACAACCTTTAAAAAAAGCCTTATGAATATTTAATACAACTGTAATTTTCTCAAGCTTACTAAATTATTACCCTGCTGTATTTTCAGATTTTGCTTGAGGTTCCCATCCATTAACTGTCTAGATGAGACTTTGGGGGAGACAGGCAAGCGGGGAAAGAGGAAGCAAAAAGATCATTATGTGACTGTGTGAGCACCAGTGTGCCGCAATGAAGGCATGCATCCACTGCAAACATCCACGGACAAAGACTTTTTAAGCATAGATATAATTTTTAGTAGAATGTAAACTTTTAAAAAATATAGTGTAATTATTCAATCCAGTGAGGCAAAAGGAATAAAATTTCAATAGAAATACCTTCACTGAGGTGTTCATAATCTGTACCTTATAACAGTTCAGAGTTTGTAGAACAAAATTCTACATGTACTATAGAGCATTTTAGACAGAATAACTGAAGTGTGGTCTTTTAAATGCATCAGTTCATTTCGATAGTAAAATTAATTAGTGAGATCAAGTCTGTCAGGACAACTCATCTCAGGAAGATTTTATGTTCACAATATGTTTAGCCTTACTTGCTTTTTATCTTTATGTAAGCTCTTCTTATAACTTTCCTGTAGAAACTCAATCCAGGTGAAGTTCAGAGCTTAACATGGAATCTAGAAATAATGTAAATAAACACCACCATACCAGATTTCTGAGCCGTGCCACAAACAAAATCCGCTTTCAGAGGCAGGCAGATATCACACAAAGTAACTGATCCTCTGGATGCCGCAAATCCACTCGGGGCTATCACACCAGCCTTGTTCCTCCTCTGAGGACCTTCACTCTTCAGTTTATTCAGCTCATCAATTAAAAGTGCTCTCTTCTCAGCTATGTCAAAACATGAAAGTAAATATTCTGAATATCAAAATTATAATGGTAGGTTGTGGATATAATGTAGTGGCTTGTGTAGTGGCCTAAGGTTCTGGGTTCTATACCAAGCATCACAAAAATAAAATAAAATTGCAATTCTTTCTGTTCTGTTATGTTCTGCTTTGTTTTGTTATTTGAGACAGGTCTGCCATGTGATCCAGGCTGGCCTCAGGGTCCAGAGTGCTGGGATTACAGGAGTGCACCACCATGCCCAGCAGCTACTTCTAAGTGAAAGCCAGTTCAAGAAAGTGCACTGACAGTGCCACTACATAACAAAACCAAGGACAAAAACCACTCATTGTTTTTATGCCTCAGGTGGGAGGTACTGGGTAAAACCAGAACTGTGTAGATTTACCAAGCCCTTACGATTTAACTTTTTAAATTATTTACTTATTAATTTGGTACAAGGTCTACTGTGTATATTTACCAAGCCCTTATAATTTTTTAATCAATTATTTATTTATTTATTTATTTATTTATTTATTTATTTGGTACAGGGTCTCACTACCCAGCTCAGAATCATAGCGATCCTCCTGTCTCAGCCTCCCCTGCACTGGGATTACAGGTGTGTGCCACCACATCCAGTTTTGGTGGTTGGCACAGCACAGCATGTGGTACCTGGGATTGAACTGACGTCCTTACACTTGCCAGGCAGGCACTTTGACCACTGAGCTATCTCCCCAGCCTCCTTTATAATCTAATACTTTAGTTTTCAATACTCTTTCAATATAAATTTCTACCAAGCATGTCTGTCTGTCTCTTCCCCAAAAAATAATCCATATCAGTTATTTTAGCTATACATAAATCAATATAGAGAAAGAGACACAGACTGGTTGTGTGCATGCATGCATGTGTGTGTGTGTGTGTGTGTGTGTGTGTATGTGCATAGTGTATTCACTTAGCATCTTCAAATACATTCCAGTTGCTTCTGCCTTTGACACAAACCACATTTTGTATCTTATTTCTCAAACTTCCAAAGTACAAAAACCAGACACTGGGTCAAATACAGCACATGACTGGAGGAAATGCTTTCTCTCAGATTAGAGATTCCTGAACTTGGAAATGTTCCAGGTACACTACTCTCACGTACTTGCGATTAGCAGCAGTCTCTCTGCCTCGGCCTCTTCCCGGGAGCCCTTGCCGTGCTCCTCATCGACGCAGCAGCTGAGAGCCTGGCTGGCCTGGTAAATCACTGTCTGCTGCAAGTTGATCTCATTGTTGAGCTCCTAGTGAAAGCAACAGGAGGAAGGATGTCGGCATTTTAGGTCACTATTTCACTTCATTTAAACTTCAATTGTAAGTTGTCTGATTGGATAATTTCAAATTTTCCCAGACAGTAAAGCCAAAATATTACTTCCAACCAGGTATGTGGGGCACACCATGCTCTTTGAGGCTGAGACAGAAGGATCATAAGTTTGAGCCTAGCCTGGGCAACTTAGCAAGGCCTTGTCTCAAAATGCAAAATAAATTAAGTTCAATGCTAGAGTTTCTAGATTACACATCAAAATATTGAACATATAATAATTAAACCATAAACTTTTCCTATTAAATGATTTCTAATTCATACTTATTAAAAAGTATAACTGGAGCTATATCTAATAAGGTAGAAATTTAGAAAGTATCTGATTCATTTTATTTAAACTATAACTATATTGTTGCTTTAAAAAAAACTTTCTTAGCATTAAAAAAGTAAAAAAAATTTTAAAAAACTAAAATAGCACCATAAAAGTTAACACTTCACTATGATCCAATTAAGAGTTATGTTTAACAGGGACATAGCTCAGTGGCATAAGTGCCTGCCTGGCAAGTACAAGGTCCCAAGTTTGTTCCCCAGTACCACAAAAAAAAAAAAAAATTGTTCTGCTTAATAGGTAAGTACCGGTGCTGCAGGTGTAGCTCAGCAGTACTGCACGTAGCTGCACACCAAATCTTCTGGCTCAATCGCCAGTATCATCCTATCCTCTCAAAAAAATGTTCAGCAATATAAAATAAGCTTCTAAGCTTCCTCTGAAATCAAGCTGAATTCCAGGGTGACTTAGTGAGCTCCATCGGTCAGTACTGCTGTGGTCACTCAGTACAGGGACAAATAGGGCCAGGTCCTCATCCTCAGTGAGTCCCAATCTAACACAAGAAACACACGAGCCTCCTTTCCACGGAAGTCATACCTGAATTTTCTGTTTGATGTTAACCTGACAAGAAAAGGTATTCTTCTCATCCAGTTTTGAAGTTATATCTTCCCTCCGAACAATCACCTGCTTTACTGAAGGTCGCTCTGTTTCTTTGATTCTCTGAGACCTATACGCATCGATGCTGTAGGAAAAAGTTACACTTCAGAGATCCGGAAACGCACTGAGCACTGTGCTTTACTACACCTATCAGCAGAAGATGACTGATACCAAAGTTACGCTATAACTATAAACTATAATGCCATCGTGTCAATCCAAACCAAGACTCCCATCTAGCCATCCCCAGTGCCCTTACCTATAAAGAAGATCTCGATCTTCAGAGCCAATGCTATCCCCAGACTCTGCTCGAGGCACGCGGGTTCTCTGGAATTTGCCTGGCTTGGGGCTTTCATCACTTACACTGGTGTCCTTCAATTCTAATTTAGGTGAGGAAGTGAAATTCTACAGGAAAGCATGTCAGACGTTAGTACTTTGCATGGGTAATTAACAGTGACCTGCAACGCTCATTCATTTCATTCTAAGCAAATAAAAGAATTCTTCACCTTTATTGAAAAATAAACACCTAGTGGGTCAACTGATTCATCATAGAAACAAAGCAAACAAAAATGAATTTCTTTAAAAAGATGAGTAAGGCCAGGTGTGGTGGCACAAGCCTATAATCCCAGCACTGTGGAGGCTGAGGCAGGAGGACTGCCATGAGTTTGAGGCTAGCTTGAATTACATAGTAAGTTCAAGCCAAGCATGAACTATACAGCAAGACCCTGTTCCACATTTTTATATCATGCAATACAGTGACAACTGTTGAATTCCTATTATTTTGTTTAATGGGATTTTGTATTGTTCTTAGTGCTTTTTTTAAAACTATTTTTTATTTTTTTACATTAATTTTTTTTTTTAATTTAGAAAAGTAAAGACATGAATAAAAGCATAAAGTCAGCTGAAACCTATACAGGTAACTCCACAAGTGAACCCATCTCCAGAGGCAGGTGCTCAGTTCGGATGACAGCGAATGACAGCACTCAGCTCTCTGCACGTTAGCGTATGTCCAGCGTGAAACACTGACGTACTAACAGGACCCGCGTTCACATGAACACTGGGATGTGGACACCATTGTCAACCTCAGGGAACAGACAAAGAACTGTGTCAAGAGATGGTCAAGGTCAATGACAGGATTTGAGTCGAATGCCTGCCCTTTCAAAGCATTTCACAAAAATAAATAAGTAAATAAAAATAAAAGCATTTTACAGTCTGATTTTGTCTGAGGTTCACGGGAAACCACTGACAAGTTGCTAGCTCTCTCTTCAGAGGTTTTTCATGAGCTTTCCAGAATCACTCTGGCTACAAAATGCCACGCGCCCATCTACCAACGAAAGGAGGGGCCATCATCAGCCAGCCTACGTGGTTGCAGTCCGCAGTCCCTTACCTCTGGATTTACCACACCAACTGTCTGTGCCAAGGGCGAAAGTAAAGACATGGACGAGATGTTCAGTGCGTCCTCCTGCTCCTCACCGCTCACCGCTATCACCTCATCCATCTCCTCCTGGTTCTGCTCCCCATCCAAGTCACTGCCTTTGAGGACGTCACTGAAGAGGTCATTAATCACTTTTGAACTGTTGATATCACCAGCGTCATCGCCATCCACATTCACCTCAATCTCACGAACCACTTCTGAAAAAGATTTCAGTGAGTGGACACTGTGATTTGGGCCTTTGAGAGTTAAAGGGAGAACAGAGACTCCTCACATTCACATGCTTACTAAAAATTAACCAGAAACTACAAAAAGTCATTTCCAAAACTAAACTACTACTAATATATAAAACTGAGACACTTCAAAATTCCACATTTCACATTTTCTTGGACATAAAGGCTGG